TTCAAGTTGTTGTCTGATTTATGATAATTGTACAACAATTACTGTAAACATAATTTGAAGGATACTGAGGAACAAATTGTTATTTTACTTTTTGCATCTGAAGTAAACTTTCCTACTTTGTACTGTTTCTTTGAGTGTCTCTCTGTAAATGCAGATGTGTTCCCAAATTCCAATTTATTATCGCTAACCATAGTTAGACAATTTCTTCCTCATCCCACACGTGGAGCAATGCTCTGTACACTGAAGTTAGATGTATGGCAAGATCATATTCTGTTGCTGTTGTTTGGCTGAAAAGTATTTGGCTGGAGGAGGAGCCAATTAAAAAATCTTATACTTGAATGTCTTCTCAGAATTCTGTTTTGGGCATGTGATAGCTGGTTGAATGAGATTCTTCCTTGGAGGGATACATTGTTGTTTATAGAGGTGTTAACACACTTAACATTAGGATTATGGGAAAAACCGGCACAGCATGTATAGGTTTATTATGTGTGTCAATGTTTTATCTAACACTAAGTATAAATCTTTTTAAAATATATAAGTATTTATATTTAAACACAAATTGCACTGTTTACTCACTAGATAAAACAGATGTTAACAAATGTGTGGTTGAAAACGGGTAATAAATCGCAATATATTCTCTCGCAAAGCTCAGAAAATCACAACATTTTTAAAATGGCAATCATTTACTTTGGGGACTTCCACTCCCACATACCGTGTAGTAACTATCTGTTGATGGATATATTTTTATTTGTACACCTTACAATGCCATGAGTTGTTGGTCTTAGTCTTTAAACAAATACTAGAGCGGTGACACATTGTCGGGACATACTTGGATGTTTTTACTCGGACACTGAAGATGGAAGCACAACCCTCTGCTACTGTAGCTTTTTGTATTCAGATTTGGTGAGTTCTAAATGGTGGGTGTGTTTTTCATCTGCTTGATCAGTGCTTGTAGTCTGCTGTTAGCTTTTAGAAGGAAATTGGATCTCTCCAATGATAGTGCTGCACTGCTAATATGTATAAATATCTATTTTGCATGGTTTTCTATCCATAGTAAGTACAGAATGCATCAGCACCCTTAAACCCTGCTGACGATGAAAAGGTTTTGTTATTAGATGCAAAAAGTATAATAAAAAGTTCTGTTCCTCAGATCAAGATTTATAATCATGATCACAAGATGACCCAAATATCTCCTTTTTGTCCGTTAGCAGACGGTTTGCTGGATTTATAGCTACGGATCTGAGCTTTGAGTTGCACAGTTGGCTGGGAATGTGTGTGTTTCTGTGTGTGTTTTTATTTTTAATATATTATTTTATTATGATTTTAAACAAGGAAGAGTTCATGTCCTAAAATCATAGACATCCCCCACCTCCCTCGTTGAAACACCTCCATTGGGACACCTTTGTTTACTTGGTGACATGATAACATCACAATGTAACACTCATGATTCTATTGGCTAAGCACAAACACAATGTACGTGATAGACTAAGGGGCGGGACATCTCTAAGTCGTTGACCATCTCAAGCCGGCCAGCTAACCAATCAGAGCAGACTGGGCTATTGATTCAATTGTGCAGCATGCATGGATGTGTGTTTTGTGAGAATTGTGTTGATGCACTGAGTGGTATATTTATATATATATACACTTATATACACTTATATCTCACTAATCACTCACTCCTGATATTTCTGTTTGTGTTGTTGTAACTTCCCAGAATGCTCTGCCACTGTATTTAGAAACCACTACCTTAAATTTGACACATAACTGTTTCAGCAATAAGATAATTAAACTGTGAAGAAATCCCTGATACAGTAAAACAGACAGTCTTTGGCTCAAGAATGCCTTTTTACCCCACATAAACACAAGTAATGTGTTATTGTCGTGTTTTGGACCTCTTGCCCTCTTGGTTTGCTAACTTGGCTCTCTGTTTCCTAACAGGTTGGGCTTGGAGACCAAGAAAGAGGACAACCTTTCTGACTGGTACTCTCAGGTGAGTGACTCCAATCTAAAATGTTTCTACATTACATTACATTACATTACATTGCATTTAGCTGATGCTTTTATCCAAAGCGACTTACAATAAGTGCATTCGACCAGGAAGACACAAACTTGAAGAAAACAGAATCATATAAGTACATCAGGTTTCATAGAGCCAAACATTTCAAGTGCTACTCAACTGGCTTTAGAAAAGCCAGTCCTTTATTAGTATATAAGTGCTTTGTTAGTAATTCAATCGCTCGAAGTGGAGTCTAAAGAGATGAGTTTTCAGTCTGCGCCGGAAGATGTGTAAGCCTATCTGCGTGTCGCTGATCTCAATGAGGAGCTCATTGCCACCATTGAGCCAGGATAGGAAAACGCCCACGCTGTTTTTGCTGATGGGAACCTTGGTCGCCCCCTCGCCGCGTCGCGGGCAGTGCTGGTGCACGCGAGCTGTCCTGACTGAGCAGGCGCGAGAGTGCCACGCTGCTGGGGGTGTACAGTTCTAACCATGTTCTGGATGTAGAAGGGCCCAGGATCCATTCGCAGCAATGGTACGCAAGTACCATTGTTTGGTGTGAAGTGGATGTTCTTAGCAGTTACCGCGAAAGCCAGGGGAAAATCGGCGAGAGGGCGCGTGGTGTGCGAGAATTTAGGAAAGGTTGAAGACCAAGAACGACGTGCCGCGCTTCTGGGATGCAGCCTGCAGCGAGCGTCGGGGATGGCACATGCCAGGTGGAACCAGCCAGAGGGAGGGCCAGTAGTCTAGCGTGAGATGACGAGGAGCCTGGACCAGAACCTGCGCTGATTCTGGGTCAGCTGGGACGTATCCCTCCTGTATGTTGTTAAAGGAGTGTTCTGCAGCAGCGGTTGGTAGCAGCCGAGTGTTTGCCATGCAGAGACAGTTTGTTACTCTTAGGTCACACCCAGATTCCTGTGCAGTCTGAGTCTGGGAAAACAATAGAGGCTGCCCGATGTTGATTGTTAGGTGCAAGAGTGCCGCGACAATTTTTCCGCGAAGCGAAAAGCAGCTTCTGAGTCTTTGTCAAGGTTGAGCTTGAGGTGGTGAGCAGACAGTCACACTGAGAGATGTTCTGCTTAGACAAGCAGAGATGCGGTGCGGACGACGCTGGGTCTGCTGGCGGGGAGAAGACAAAGGTTATTGGGGTGTCGGTCAGCGGTAGCAGGTGGTCGGATGAAAACCGATGCCGGCTTAATGACTGATCCGGCGAGTTTGTGTACTTCGCAGTAAAGCGCCGATCTCGAAAATCGCGAGAGGTAAATTGCTCTTATTTTTGTTAAAATGCCTTTTTGTTCTAGGACACGTGCCCTGTCCCGCTGCAGCGCCTCATCGACTAAGCTAGGATGTGAGTAGCTACGGATCGGTGAGCGGGCGTGCGTATGCTGCGGGCCGCGCTGTCTTATTCGCATCTGGCAGACGCGCAGTCCAAGCGCTTGCTTTGAGCGCTGGGAGATCAGAGAACTTGGTGCTGGAGGAACTGCTAGCTTTGGTGGTGTGGGTGGGCATGTTTGTGTCTCCAGGCTGTGCCTGCTCTGGAGAATGGATAAAATGCCCACTGATTGAGACTTTTTTGTGTCGCTTTTCCTCATGAGGTAATAGTAGGATTTTGTTGACTCTCCCAGAAGAAAATTCAGGACACAAT